AAAATGTCCTGAATCTTGGATCCAGCAAATATAATTGATAAAGTCTCAAAACAAATCATATTCTGAATAGTTACATTTACTATTTTTTTTCTAACATGTGCGTAGTTTGAAACGGACAGCTTCTGCCTTATCTATTTGTAATGGAGGGACACCGGTCTCAATCTCCAGGTCTCCTGAGTCAACCCGACAACATATTTTTCATAGAGTAGATTGTTACTTGCCTTTGAATAAATTTGTACACTAAATTTATAGTGGGTGATTTAATGTGCCACATGAAAACCAACAAAGTACAAAAAGTAACCAGGCGCCAGATGAAAACATGAAAATACAATCTACCACGAAGTGGTTCGTTGGTTGCATAATTTTCATGTTTTCGCCCGGTGCCCTCAATGATGCAAAATACAAATCAGTCTTTATAAAATTTCTTATCATAGAAAAAAGGTTAGTTTTTTATCTGTACAAAAAATAGATATTGTACATGAATTAGCACAGTTATGTTCACTTTTAAATTGACCTGTTATAAATAATGGCACAACCAATAACTGTCTAAGCCCTTTTTAGTAAAAATAATTATACAATGGTATATAAATTGTTATCTTAATTAAGACTATATGAGTATGTAAGGGTTTTTTTTTTCTTATTTATTAATTAAGAATTATTTATCTGTTAATTTGAAAATCTAAATATCTGTCATGGTTTAGAACTGTTCACTATTTAGGGGAGAAAATGTGTAAGTGGCCAGATAGCTCAGTTCATTATTCTGTGGGTCACAGGTTTGAGTTATGGTGAAGCTGAAAGTTTTTATCATCCTGTGACTGCATATAACCATGAGTTTAATTCACTATGCTCTGTTAACATCAGAAATTCAAGGACATTAATCAATATAGTGGAGAAATATGTTGTGGTTTAGAACTGTTTCATTATTTAAGAGAAAATGTGTAGCCGGCCAGATAGCTCAGTTGGTCTTCTGAAAGTCATGTGTTCGAGTCATGGTCAGGCAGTTTCAGTCAGGGTTTAGAAGTGGGTTTGCGACTGGCACATGTTTTATTCATTTAATAAAGTGCATTTAATTTGAAATGGACAAAGGCAGTATTGCATGATTGTTGTATGTTTTGTTTTAGTGACAAGTATATTATCAAGAATATTATATCTCAAATGAGATGTCCAGTAAAATATACTTTTGTATAATTTGAACTAGAAGAGACAACAAGAGTACGTCTTAATATTCCAAGATTTAATACACAAGTGATGTTACATGTAGCATGCTATGGAGGCGGAGCTTATCAGCAACTAAAGTCTGTTTCAATATATATCAATATAGAACATCTCCCTTCTTTTATTTTAAATCATTTATGTTACTAAATAATAATGCATGCTTAAAAATAATATTCATAGCTAATTTCAAAAATACTGATTGAACTGTTTATTAATTTTCTCTACGTAACATAGTTTAGTTCTTTATTTTTTTGATAGTCACGGTATATTACTGTGATAACAAAATACTTTAAACTCATTATTTTCAATAACTGTTATTATCTAACCCATTCATTATTATCATACTTCGGATTGCCACGCAACAATCGTCCAGCCCTTGTTCTAGCACGCGAGTTCATCGGCGGGTCACTTTGTACCTGAGATGAGTTATTTTCCTCGAGAGGTTATTCAGGGGTACTAGAATTTTTATCATGATATAAGACTTGCGCATGAAATGATTCAATATCGGTTGTGTCTTCCGGACTTTTGCGTAATACTGACCGATTTCTCCGATATATGCTGCCGTCAGCAAGTTGTATATGATAGGAGCGGTCACTATGTACTTTTACTATTTTCCTGCGTTTCCAAATTTTTCCTATTTTAATGCGTACTGATTGATTCAAGGACAAAGGTGGCAAATATTTTGCATTTTTGTCATAATTGACCTTTTGTTTGTCTTTCGATTTTTTCATTAGACTGCGCACTTTTGAGTCATTTACTAAAATGGGTACCAGTGCTTTATTTGTAACTGGCACAACGGATTTAGTTCTCCGGCCGATTAACAGTTGACTCGGAGAATATCCGCATTCAAGAGGTGTATTACGATATTCTAATAATGCAATGTAAATGTTTGTGTTTGTATCTTTAGCCTTTTGCATTAGTTTTTTTGGCGATATCTACGCCCTTTTCCGCAAGACCGTTCGACTGGGGGTATCCGGGGGATGAAGTTCTGTGCTCGAAACCCCACTCTTTAGCAAATTCTTTGAATTCGGAGCTTGAAAATTGAGTACCATTGTCTGAGACAAAGACTTCAGGTATTGACAGTCTCGACATTTGTTTCTGAAGTTTCAGAATGACTGTTTTTGATGTTGTGTTTTGTAAATGGTCTATTTCAAAAAATCTTGAATAATAATCTATCGTCAGTAGATACTCTTTACCTTGAAAATGGAACAGGTCTGCTGCTATTTTTTGGTAAGGTCTTTTGGGGAATTCTGTAGTCATAAGCGGTTCTTTTGTGTTTGCGTCGCGGTATGTTAGACATATGCTACATTTGCTTACATATTCTTTAATTTGCTTGGACATGCCTGGCCAGAATATTGAATCTTTAGCACGTTCAAGTGTTTTCGTAATTCCCATGTGACCTGTATGAACTTTCTGTACAAGTTTAACCCACTTTCCGTAATGATATGACCAAAGAATGGTGCTGATTTGGCGCCAATTGTGCATTTTTGCTCATTAAACCTGATACCTTGCTCGCGCGCACTTAATAAAACTTGTGTTAGATGTTTGTCATGTTCACCTTGCATGTTTCCCCATATTAAAATATCATCAACAAGAGGGTGTATTCCATTTATTCCTTCGAATATCAGATTGACCTTTTGACAAAATATATCACTTGATGATGATATACCGTATGGTAACCTTAAGTATCTATATCTACCGAAAGGAGTAGCGAATGTTGTAACGTAAGACGATTGATCGTCTAGTAGTATATTGTTGATGAATCTTAAACTATTCTTTGTAACATTGTTAAGACAATGGCAAATCATGGTGAGTAAAACTAATCATTTGAAGACCCTTCATAATGCTAGAATTTCCAAATCATGTGAATCAAAATGAAGCAGAATGTTTACATTGATTGAATACAGGTAAATTAATGACTTTTATGGGTTATCTTACAGACTGGATAAAAAAAGTCTCATAGGGTCCTATGTTAAACATTAATTTTTCTAAAAACATATCCACTAATTTATTACCTGTTTTAAAATCCTGGTATGACATAATCTTGGCTTTGGATTCAAAGAGGTTATTATTATGTTATTTTTGCTGTAGTATCTAAGCGGGCATGATTTGATGCTATTTTTAGTAATGAGTAATACCTATTATTAGGTCAAGGTCATCAGAAGAGATATATTTTTCATTATCAATTTATCGAAAAATCAAGGTATTGGGATTTTGTTAACCTCTTAATGGCTTGTTCACGAGATTTATCTGCCAATTAAGGTCACAAGTTACATGTTATTTATTTTGCAATAGATAAACTTGTCAATTTAGTATTGATCTATATGTAACAAATCTTATTTAAAGAGAACAATATATTTCCTTTTAAATAAAAGACTAACATTTCATGACTTGAAGCCAATTTTTTTTAGTTAGATAGTGAGCTTAAAGTAAGCAAAGCATTTATAAAATGATACTCTTATGTAACACTGAATTTATTTATGTGATAATTTAAATTTAAAATGAAGGCATTTTATTATTCTTGCGTAAAAATGATGGTATTTTATTTCTCTATGTAACAATTGAGCTTCTTCTTTATTCCTATTTAATAAGCATTTCAATGTCCCTGTTGCAAGTTCAGCTTTATTCTCTATGTAGTCATCAACAGTTGGGTCATGTTCATTGGAATCTTGCTGATACCACCCATTCTGCTATCTTTTCCTCTCTTACTTCAACCTCCCCGTCAACCTCATGCTCTATGCTTTTATATTCTGTTCCAGCACTTTTTCAGCCTCTTTGCAGGAAGTGTCAGTAGAACCATCTGATTTAACAGATATTAAGTGACTGTTCATTTGTAATCTTCCATATTTACCATGTAATTTTATTTTATTTTTTTAAGCTTTTTAATCAAGAAACTTGCTTACCGGTATATATAAATTTATGCAGAAAAAACTATTCAATGAGTAAAGATGGTGTTCACATTCAATGTCTTTATAAAAAAATAGCTATAGTTTAATAACATTGTATGGATAGCTGGAGCTAAAATAAAAGTAAAAAAGCAAAACTTGATTTAGTGTAAAAAAAAAAATATTGGCCAGCCTCTATTCATGATCAATATTAAAGTTTCATCTGATGATAAAAGCTATAAAATCATCCTTGAACAGAACTTTTGTCATGTGAAGAAACAGAGTACAAGTAAGGCTTGAACCCAACATTCCATTCAACTTTTTATGCCCCCACAAAGTGGGAGCATATAGCGTTGCACTTGTCTGTCCGTCCGTATGTCTGTCCGTACGTCCCGAAATCTTGTGAACGCAACTCCTCTTAAACCGGATGGCAGATTTTGCTTAAACTTCCAAGGATGAACAACCTTAAAGTGTAGATGGTAGTAAAGGAAGGAATTTTTGCTGCAACAAAATTTAACAGAATTATGGCCCTTTGTTGATTTTTTCACTATATACTATGTAGAAATTTTGTGAACGCAACTCCTCTTAAACCGGATGGCAGATTTTGCTTAAACTTCCAGGGATGAACAACCTTAATGTGTAGATGGTTCTAAAGGAATGAATTTTTGCTGCGACAAAATTTAACAGAATTATGGCCCTTTGTTGATTTTTTTTTACTATATACTATGTAGAAATTTTGTGAACGCAACTCCTCTTAAACCGGATGGCAGATTTTGCCTAAAGTTCCAGGGATGAACAACCTTAATGTGTAGATGGTAGTAAAGGAAGGAATTTTTGTTGCGACAAAATTTAACAGAATTATGGCCCTTTGTTGATTTTTTCACTATATACCATATAGAAATTTTGTGAACGCAACTCCTCTTAAACCAGATGGCAGATTTTGCCTTAACTTACAGGGATGAACAACCTTAATGTGTAGATGGTAGTAAAGGAAGGAATTTTTGCTGTGACCAAATTTAACAGAATTATGGCCCTTTGTTGATTTTTTCACTATATATCATATATATGTTGTCAGTGGGGGCAGCAGTGTCCTTTGGACACAGTTCTCAAAGTTTGCCTAAGAATTGGAAGAAAGAAGGTTCCAGTTTCATTTTGTAATATAACAAAAATTGTCATCAAAAGTATCAGCCAAAATACCCTTCCAATACCTGGAGTTGTATCAAGAGACCCAACTGCAATGATATTTATGTATTCTTATAGGACCAGGATAGATAGGTAGATAGGATAGGATATAGGATTAGATTTGATTGGATCAAATCAATCCAATCAATCGGGTAGGTTAAAAACTCTAGTGTCAGCTTTTTTTTCCTTTGTTTCTTCTCAAAGTTCCTCAATCTATCAATGGATTGTCATGGCATATTTATTGAACAAAAGCATGATAAAGGATAATAATCAGCACAAAACATATTTTAATATTTTTTTGTGTGTGCAAAAGACATGTTTTCCTTATATAGTTTAGCCACACAAACAATATACTGAAATACAATAATAACAGTCCCGTATTCCTATTATCGTTTTTATTTATTCTTCAGAAAAAATAATGTTTTATTTATATGTAAAAAGTATATTCTTATACTAGTATATATGCAAATAGCATCAGTGTGTTTTAAATGCTAATAATAAGTAGTCACAGTTTTTGATGGTCACTATTGATTTTAATGCTCAAGCCATCAATTTGAAACATTTTTCTGATAGTTTTTTCTACAATTTATACAAAGACTAGTCTTCTTTTTCGTTGATACATTCTTTGTAGTAGAAGTATGATAAATTGTTCCTTAAATAGAAAAAAAAGTTAGTTCTCAATATTTCATGTTATTCCAGAACTGCAGTTTCTAAAAACATGTATTAATTTATTTGTAGTACGAATGATAAATGTCAATTATTTAGGGGTATCAAACATTATTGAAAAGGATGGACATAGCATCACTCAAATATAAAATAAAGCACTGTTCTCAACTCTATAATATTCATAATCATGTTCACATGCTTTATTATCTCAACGGCTTCCTAACCCATCTTGGGTTTTTCTTTAAACCTTTGTGAATTAATGGTTTTTTTGCCTGAATAAGGGACTTTTGTTTCATTAAAGTTGTTTGTGATACACTTTGTTTAATTGACGATAATTTTGCCATTGCTTCGAAAGAGTTTGCTGGTTGATGTCTTTGATTGTTAAGTATATTATGATTTTGATCAGGTTGTTCTGGTACAGCTGTAGTATCCCTGTCATGGTGAGAGGGATCTTTATGAGGACTTTTGCTTTCATTTCTTTTCGATTCAGCAAAAAGGATTTTATTTTTCATTTGCTGTAAGTTACTCCTGGAATTAGAACCAGCACACCAGTCCTTGCACTCTTGTAAGTTTGATGAGGTTGATTTATACAATGACTGCTCATTTATTCCTGAAACCACTTTGCTCTTTGCTACTGTTTCCTTTTTCTTCACACTTTCAGCAGCAATTCCTGTGACATCTTTTGATATTAAGCTAGACTGATTATGTATTTGATGACTTAAAACACTTAACTTTTGACTCATGATATCATGTTCTTTTTCATACCATGCTACTTGACTTCTTAGTTCTTCATTCTGTCTGGTGATTATTTTAAACTTTCTGTCTCTGGTGTGATTTTCACTCTCAGTTTGTTTTGTTTGCTCTTGTTGATACAGATCGTCCTTGAGTTTTTTATTTTCCTCATTCAGTCTTTCATTCTCAAGTTTGAGAGTTTCAATGGTTTTTTGTTGCTGGTTCAGTGTCATTTCATTGTTTTTACACTTTGTTTCCAGTTTAAGAATCTTACTGGCATACTTTTGTACTTGTTCTTCTTTTTTGTTTAAATTTTGCTGAAGATCAGCTTTCAAGAGTTTCAAGTTTATAATGTTTGTGAGTAATGAATCTTTGTTGGTTGCGCCAATTGCCCTGAAATAGAAATAAGTATTGGTTGTTATGATCTATGTATAGTGTAGGTCTTGGTGATTTATTGGTTAAGTTGTTATTTTACTTCAAATATGTTGTAGGTCTCAATGACTCTGTGATTAAGGTTTTTTACTTGAAATAACATATTTTATGTTGAACTGGTTAAGGTTCTTGACTTGAAATCACTTGGATGTAGTGGTTAAGGTTTTTGACTTGAACTCACACAGATTGTAGTGATTAAGGTTTTTGACTTAAAATCATATAGGCTGTAGCGGTTAACTTGAGATCACATATGTTGCAATGGTTAAGGTTTTTGACTTGAGATCACATAGGTTGTAGTGGTTAAGGTTTTGATTATATTTTTTTCCACCTGGCAGAATGTTATTTTTGCATTTGATCAAGTTATCCATTTAGCTTACAGATAGTTCAAGTTTGCTATGAAGGTACCCATTTGTTCTTGAACTATTACACAGAAGGACTTGAAAGGATTTGGTTTGGCCAAGTATCTTTTTTGTAAAGGTGGCATTGTTGGAGTTTGAGGGCTGAATGCCACACTTTGGAATATCCTTATTTTACATGAATATTTATTTGTTTCTTGTTTCTAAAATTTCAAAACTGTAAAATCAAACTTAACGAGAGCCCGGTTTGAGCCTGGTGATGCTCCCCGAATAGGTTTTCGACACAGGAAAGTACATCTCTTGTAGTTTCAGAGTTATGTCCCATGAAAATGTTCAAAGTGCAATAATTAAAAAATTAGGCAAGGCAGAGTTACTGTTCTTCGCAATGCACTTCTAATCAATGCGATCTATCAACCTACAAAGTTTCTTGCTGATACCTTTTATGGTTTCCGAGTTATGTCTCTGACAAAGTTCAAAATGAACAAAGGGCAATAACTACAAAATTTGGCAAGGCAGAGTTCAAGTTCTTATTCATTATACATCTACCCATTGAGATCCATCTTCCTACAAAGTTTCATGTTCATACCTCTTGTAGTTTTAGAGTTATTTCACGGACAAGATTTTTTTAAAAGGGGAGATAATTAAAAAATTGGGCAAAACAAAGTTATGGTTTTTTTTGTACTGCACTTTTACTCAATGAGATCTATCTGCCAACAAAGTTTCATGTTGATATCTCTAATAATTTTAGAGTAATGTCCCAGACAAAGTTCAAAAAGTAAAAATAAACAAAGGGCAATAACTTCAAAATTAGGCAAGGCAGAGTTCAAGTTCTTGTGCACTGCACATCTACCCATTGAGATCCATCTACCTACAAAGTTTCATGTTGATACCTCTTGTAGTTTTAGAGTTATTTCCCAGACAAGATTTTTTTAAAAAGGGATGATAATTCAATAACCGGGCAAAATAGAGTTATGGTTCTTGTACACTGCACATCTACCCATTGAGATCTATCTGCCAACAAAGTTTCATGTTGATATCTCTTATAGTTTAAGAGTTATGTCCCGGACAAGATTTTTCTATAAGGGGAGATAATTCAATAACCGGGCAAAATAGAGTTATGGTTCTTTGACACTACACTCCTCCTCAATGCCCTTTACCACTACCACTGTATGAAGTTTAAACAAATTATCTCCAATGGTTTTCAAGTAATGCTCCGGACAAGACAACGGACGGACAGACAGACGGAAGTTCTAACAGGAGAGTAATAATGTGGCTACTCTATTGTTCTCTCTATTGTTCTTTTTAGCCACACAAAAGAAAATAGCCATATAAAAGCATTACGGAATGAATGACATCAAAGAGAAAGAACAGTTACCTATTGTATTTCTGGCCACATAATTACTGTCCTGTGAGTGCGGACGGACAAGGTGGCGACTATATGCTCTCCCTTCGGGGAGCATAACAAGGTGGCGACTATATGCTCTCCCTTTGGGGAGCATAAAAATGAACAAGTTAGCATTTTGAACTTTGTTTTTTCCTTTTCATGATCTATATTTAACACTAAAATTAATTTATTTTCTTCATAGATTTATATTATTCCAATATGACATGGTAATGAAATTATACATTTTTCAAAAATTTAGAATTAAGGAATATGAAAAATTAACTATTAAAACCAAATTAAACTTACTTGGTACAGTTTTGTTCAAGTTTGAGGAGCTTGTCCAACAATTCCTCCACCTTTTCAAACGTGACTGGTTCAGGACTACTGAAAGATTGCTCTCTCTCGTTCATATGGAACAAATGCATCTTCAGCTTGGTGTACATGCCATTCAAACTCTGATGTGTTGCAAAGTCTATAGAATGACTAGATCTCCTTGAAGCATGGTTACCATGTAGGAAGTGGTTGGTTGGATAGATAGCAAAGTCGGAAGAGTGGTTTGATTGACGTCTGGGAGAATGGTGCTCATGAGGTAAATTACTGTTTAGCGGATCATTGACTGTGCTCCTGTCATGTGAAAGTTAAAAGAGGCTAATGATATTGTGGACCAGACTGAAGTTTACTTAATTGGAAATGTTGTTGAGTTAAGGTCAACAATATTTAGAAAAATTGTATCTGTAAAGGAAGGTATTACTATATCCTTTGGTAACTACATTATATTGTATTTATAAAGATAATGTTAATTACATTACATCATTTATTATTATTGTTGAAATTGTTCTAAAGTTAAAAAGAGAAATTATATGAAATTTAATAAAGATATATCTCTTCAGGACCATTTGTTTTCAATGTAGTTCATAGTTTGAACTTGATATGTTGCATTTTTTCCGCATTCACATTTACACATGAATTTTTTTTCCATTTCTTATGTCTCTTTCACAAATTATTTAAGTTTCTTGTGTTTCTTTCACAGATTATTTTCATTTCTTGAGCTTCTGTCAGAAATACTTCAAAGGTCTAATAGTGACTGAGGTTGGCACTTATGTGACCATTATTTCATGCATTAGAGGACACATTATGAGTGGAACCATTTACCTCTTTTATCAAGCTTTATATATATAACCATTTTACATAAAACATTTTGACCTTTCTTGTGGAATTTAAATCTCCAGTGGTGAGAGGTAATTAATTTATGTCAATACAGACACATAAAGATCCAATAGTTCTTTTACTTATTTGAATTATAAAATAACTGTTAAATAAAGTTCAAGTCATTCAACAATAATATGATTACAGAAAATGCATACCTCTGATAATGTTGGGAGTTGTGATGACCTACATGTGGCAATGAGGTTTTCGTTTGAATTGTTGGAGAAATTGGCTCCTTAGGATCAGTAACTTCTGTTTTAGTATTTTCACTATGTTCCAAAGATCCTTCAGAGCTGTTACCAGAGTCTGTAGATTAGAAGGTTATTTCTTGTTAGACAAATGTCTGTAGTTAGGCTTGATTTAAAGTTATTGACATCTTTATTGCTAAAATGTAATCTTTACCCTTAAAAATCTACTTATATTATCTTTTATGGATGTGTTATTTTATTACCATTTTAAAATGTTTTATTTCAAATGTACAGTAAACTAGAAATATAGCTATTAAAGATGGTTTTGCAGCAGTCCCAACCTCAGTCCTTCTTTATATCATATGTTTACACTCTGACTGTAATGATATAATATATTGGATACAGTGATATTTCAGAAATAACTTCCTGTTTTCAAATTTGTTGCCTCTCAGATATAACGATATCCAGATATTAAGTAGATAATTTGGTGGTCCCCTGAATATCGTTATATGTGGAGTTTGATATTCATTAAGGGGACATAATTATAATGATAGCTTTCAGTCTTCTTATTGAGTAATTTCCCTAGTTTTCACATTTACCTCTATCTATTCTCTTGACTTCTTCATTGTATCTCTCCATAAGCCTGTCTGCCAGGAATTTGTAAGCTGGACTGATAGCATTTATAAAAGCTGTAAATGCATTTGGTCCCTTCTTTTGTAGTACAAATAATAATACTGAGATCTTTTCAGAGTTTGTCTTCTCAGCCTGAAATGGAAGGTGATAATCAGGGAATTAGCTGTAGAAAACAGGGAAAGTGAGCTAGAATAAATCTTAGTACAAGAGCAGTGCTGATGATTTTTTTTTTCTATAAAATGAATCATTGGTTGGGGGAGGGGGATTTTAAGACTAATTGCTGTAAGTTGCATCTGTAGTTGAGTGATTTAGAATGCTGTTTTCAAGACACAAGCCCATATTACTGTGAGTATGAATACCACCATGGACTTTCGATCAGTTCTGTCAGGTTTCTGTTAAACTGGAATATAGAAAGCTGAGCATGCTCAGGGTGATCTTTTAGGATCGATGATTGTCCGTCGTCCGTCCGTTCACATTTTGTTGTTAACACTCTAGCGGTTGCATTTTTGCCTCAATCATCATCAAACTTGGTCAGGATGCTTATCTAGTTGATAGCTCGGATGAGTTTTTGAACATGGGTCATCTCGGATGAAAAACTAAGTCATAAGAGCTAAAAATAGAAAAACCTTGTTAACACTCTAGAGGTCACATTTTTGCCTCAATCATCATCAAACTTGGTCAGGATGCTTATCTAGGTGATAGCTCGGATGAGTTCGAACATGGGTCATCTTGGATGAAAAACTAGGTCACCGGAGCTAAAAATAGAAAAACCTTGTTAACACTCCAGCGGTCACATTTTTGCCTCAATCATCATCAAACTTGGTCAGGATGCTTATCTAGTTGATAGCTAGGATGAGTTCGAACATGGGTCATCTCGGATGAAAAACTAGGTCACAATAGCTAAAAATAGAAAAACCTTGTTAACACTCTAGAGGTCACATTTTTGCCTCAATCATCATCAAACTTGGTCAGGATGTTTGTCTAGGTGATAGCTTGCATGAGTTCGAACATGGGTCATCTCGGATGAAAAAGTAAGTCACCGGAGCTAAAAACAGAAAAACCTTGTTAACACTCTAGCGGTCACATCTTGGCATCAATCATCATCAAACTTTGTCAGGAAGCTTGTCTAGGTGATAGCTTGGATGAGTTCGAACATGGGTCATCTCTGATGAAAAAGTAGGTCACTGGAGCTAAAAATAAAAAAACCTTGTTAACACTCTAGCGGTCACATTTTTGCATCAATCATCATCAAACTTGGTCAGGATGCTTGTCTAGGTGATAGCTTGGATGAGTTTGAACATGGGTCATCTCGGATGAAAAAGTAGGTCACCGGAGCTAAAAATAGAATATTTGTTAACACACTAGCGGTCACATTTTTGCCTCAATCATCATCAAACTTGGTCAGGATGCTTGTCTAGGTAATAGCTTGCATGAGTTCGAACATGGGTCATCTCGGATGAAAAACTAGGTCACCGGAGCTAAAAATAGAAAAACCTTGTTAACACTCCAGCGGTCACATTTTTGCCTCAATCATCATCAAACTTGGTCAGGATGCTTTTCTATTTGATAGCTCGGATGAGTTCGAACATTGGTCATCTCGGATGAAAAACTAGGTCACAAGAGCTAAAAATAAGAAAAACCTTGTTAATTACTCTAGCGGTCACAATGTTGCCTCAATCATCATCAAACTTGGTCAGGATGTTTGTCTAGTTGATAGCTTGGATGAGTTCGAACATTGGTCATCTCGGATGAAAAACTAGGTCACAGGAGCTAAAAATAGAAAAATCTTGTTAACACTCTAGTGGCTACTGTTTTGATCCAAATATCCTGTAAATTGGTCTGAAAGTTTGTTGTGATTATTTCTAAGTCAAGTTCGAACATGGGTCATCTTGGATAAAAAACTAGGTCACACCGCCCAAATATTGAAAAACCTTGTTAACATTCTAGTGGTCACATTTTCAACTCAATTATCATCAAACTTGGTTCAGGATGCTTGTCTAGGTAATTGCTCGGATGAGTTTGAAATCGCATATGAAAAAAGGTCACCGGAGCTAAAAGTAGAAAAATCTTGTTAACACTCTAGTTGCTACTGTTTTGATCTAAGTATCCTGGAAATTGGTCTGAAAGTTTGTTTTGATGATTTTCTAGGTCAAGTTTGAATATGGGTCACCACCTGGGTAAAAAACTAGGTCACACTGCTCAAATATGGATAATCCTTGTTAACACTGTAGTGGTCACATTTTTGACTCACCTGTCATGAGACTTGGTCAGAATGCTTGTCTAGGTAATTGTTTGGATGAGTTTGATGGGTCAGGTGAGCGATCTAAGGCCATCATGGCCCTCTTGTTATGAAGTAGCATCTGAATTCTGAAGTCTTCCTCCAAGTTGCCCCTTGTAAATGTGTTCTGCTTTATATTTGAATGGCTGAATTATAAAGTCTCATGAAAAGTATGATATTTTGACATAAAACATTTTTAAATAATTCAATCATCCATTTACTGGTGTATCACAAACGTATTTGCGTATAATGTCCCTCTGTATCCTGAATCGTATCGTATCACCTGTACCCTGACAATACACAGTCCTTATAACTGGTATTGTAAATTAATTTATTAATAAATATAACATAATTAAGTAGCATAAAATTGTATTAACAAACCTTGACTTTCTGTACATGGTCATTACTAAGAGTATCATCTGCCTCCAATGTATCCAAGATATCATCATCAAGATTTAGATTCTTCTTTATCTCAGCTTTACACTTCTTTAACACCTCTCTTGCAGCCTCATCCATTTTCACTGGTTTTTGCAGGTCACTTTGACCTTGATTAGTTTCATGCATATATTAGGTTTTCCAGTTTTTGAAAAACTTTTATTCTGTTGTTATATTATCCTTATTCGATTTTATGTCTGTTTGGTTTGTTCAAAAGATTTTTTTTTCAAAGTCACTTATGTTTTTTTTACTTTTTTCCAGTTGGCTACATTATCCTTAATTGAGCTCTTTCCTTATTTTTATTTTTTATGTTTAATATTATACTTTTATTCAAATTATATGTATCTTCCTTATTCTGTTGATGTGTATCCAAAGCATTATTTCACTTTATTCACAAATTTGAATATCTTACAGGATATTTCCCAAAATCTAAGAAAAACAAAACAAAACAAAATAAAAAAACGAGGAAAATTGGATGAAAACCTGAAGTTTCAAATTGTCTTAATTTTCTAAAACACTTTAGATTTAAATGTCCATGTAGCTTTTCTTAAATTTAAATCATAGTCACAGAAATGATTGTTCTTTTTGTAATTAAAGCTTTTTAAGGATTTGATGTCATGCTTATCAATACTGCAATGTCATCTTTTCTGATTATTGTCGTCATTGTTTTAAATATACTCTATGTGTGTTTGGCATATACTTTGTTTTAAAAGTATTTTAGCCTTTGTTAACACTAATATGTGATGAATGAAAAAACCAGATCAATTGTCTAAACGATGGATTTAATCATACTGTTTAATCAAATACATGTGGTCCTAACATTATTCCTTGACTGACGCCAGATATATGATACCTTTATCTTTTGATTATAAATGAATAACCCATAAAATTTGTTAAGAAGTGAATAAAAATCCAATTTGCTTTAAAAAAAACTGATGATTACAAATTTTCTTAAAGCAATATGACCTAAATATTCTTAGTACAGATGTATTAATTGTTGTACTTATATTCTTTTATTTTCTATAGGCTTTTTACCTATAACGAAATTGTAAAAAGTATGAACCTTTATGATATTTCATACATGATACAATCAAGAAAGTAAACTGTATGCTGTTTTACATAAGCTGAAGTAATTTGAACTACATAAACCATTGGAATTTCACATCATCCATTTATATATTGGTATCTGAATTTATATCACAAATTAAGTACATGCATCTACCTAATTAAGTGCCTAAAACCAAGACTTTAGTATACATGAAATAGAAAAGGAATCCCTAAAGAATGTCCCAAATGACAAAAATGTTGCAGGCTTAATTTAATTGAACCTGTTGATGGAACTGTCATTTGTTCACACCCACGTGTATCTGCTAAAGCGGAATTCAATATTTGATATAGAATGGTAATTTTCTTCCATTCAAAAATATCTGTATTTTGAAAGGTTATCAGAGGTTATGAAACCTAAATATCAAAGACAAATTTAAAAAGCAGGCATAATCTTAAGGTTGGTTATACAGTATTCAAGTAGGAATACTGGAACAACCCAACTATTTAAAAGCCAAATACACAGGGATGAACCCCATATTGGTCTCAAAATTTCAAATGTGAATTTCCGCTGATCCAGATATACAGAGTTTTTACAAATTCTAACCATCAAACAATGCTTAACTAACATTCAAACAAACTGTTACTATATTTTATATAAATTTCAACAGTGTTGTTTTCACACTTCATTAAATTTAATATAAATATTCTCTTTTAATATAAGTTGCATTATATAAAAAGTTAGTTTTTGCAAATTACTTCAGGGAATAAGTTAAAACTGAACATCCTGTCATTCTGATCCAAGTTTAGAATATAGGGCAAGATACCGGAATTTGTTTTGGAAAGCTTGCCAATTTATGTTTAGTGCAACAATGCCTTATCCTATTATGTTAAATCATCAATTTGTCCATAGATTTGCTAAATACACACTGGACTAGCTCAGAAATAAGCCAATATTTGTGAGGACATTTGGTAAAAGATTTAAAGACTAGACTCTTTTTTCTTTTATACATCTCGAAAGATTTAGTCAGTGCTTGTCAAACATAACTATTGACTGTTCAGTTTTTTTATAACATTTCATTTAGTACATTTTTGTAGATATTTAGGTATATGCGTACTAAATATAAATACTAAGATGATTTACTGCTCCATAATTAAAATAATTAGGTAGTTTTAAGCAACTTAACCAACACAGACAATGACTAAGACATTGAAATCAAAGTAGTTTCGTATAATGAGACCGGAGATAAAGAAGTTTTCAATTCAAACAATGGGCCAATTAAATATAATGTTGGGTATTTAAAAACTACAATAGAACTGTTGCTACCAAAACAATGGATTTGAACAAATTTTGAACAATTACTTTGTATTTAAAAACATAAAAAGAATTGAACGTGTTAACAAGTAAAATAACAAAATAAAGGGAAAAATAATTATATAAAACAGTGTACACATAATATACAAATAAAAAGAGTTCTTTCATTTCAATCTATCCTCTTGTTTGCCTTAGACCTAATCTATTTCTATGTTAATACCAAAATCAAAATACTTAACAGAGTCTGTCATGTATTTTTATAAACAAATTATATAGTGAGTAGTTATTTTTCCCCCTCTCTTTTTGAGAACTGGTCTGAGTCAAAGTGAGCCATATGAATTTCTGTCGTCATTTGGGATTTTTGTACATAACTTTGGGAAAAAGGCATTTCATGTACAGGTGTGACCCATCTAAAGAAGTAGAAACAATCATTGATTATTGATAATGCACTCACTGATGTTTTGATAGAGATACTTATCAACCTCTCAATTTCAAGGGTGTTTTTTAGGAATTTTTGCACCTCTTGGACTTTCTTGTAGTGGACATTTGTTGTTATTTACCACAACAAGTGAACTCAGATTTCTTGGTTCATTAGGAACATGTCTGCCTGCTTTTTTAATAGCTTCTTGGTTGTTTTCATGTGTTCCAAACCAAACCCTTTGTTGGTTCAGGTTGGTTTTTCTTGGTTTGACAATATGAGAATTTCTTCTTCCTCTTACTTTCTTACTTTGAGTGGAATTGTTTTGCTCCTTAAGTGTTTTTGTTGTGTCAGAGTTATTGCCAGCTATAAAGATTTGTTGCTGTTCTTTACAGATTTCATTAGTTTTTAATTGGTGAAAGTTTGTATCTGGAACATTATGGTCATTCCTGTCTTCTTCGTCAGAATTCTGTGATTGGTTCAGTTTAAGCTTTCCACTCTGGCATGAGCTTCTGTTGTTGCATAATTCAACAAAAGACTGAGTTCTTACTAAATTGACACCATCTGGTTCCTCTACGGCTGTCAGTTCTTTGCTTTCTCTTCCATTACTATGAGTCATCTGTCTGCTGGCTTTTTTGGATATTTCTCTGGATTTATCATGCTGATATATATTCTTATATGAACTTTTGTAGTAAGAAATGTGCTGTTTCATTTGGTAATCTCCTACAGACCTTGCTCTTTTGCTTTTTTGCCATGTTCCTTGTCTAGTTAATTCTGTCTGTTCTGTTTCTCTTCCAAGGCTTAACGCATTTTGTCTGCAGTTTTCCCTTTCTGGTTTAACTTTCTTTTCTCTCTCAACCATTTTAATACCTTCATTTGTTTTTAATAAAGCATTTTGTAACTGCTTCTTTAATTCATCAATTTCCAAATCCTTTTCTTTCAATTGAGCTTCCAATTTCTCTTTCAGACTTTCAAATTCATCATGCAATTTTTGATTGTGTCTCTTTTCTTCTTCTAACATCTCATTGATGTGTCTGCATCTATTTTCTAGTTTGATGATATTATCAGCATACTTGTTCTTTAACTGGTCTTTCTCATTCAACTCCTTTTTCATTTTCTTTTTTGATTCCTTCAGCTCAATAACATGAGTGACTAAGTTGTCTTTAACCCTCAATGTTCTGTAACAGTGGTAAGAAAGTATTTTGAAGAGATTATTATATTTTACTGAAAAAGTTAGTGATATTCTTGTATATATAAAAAAGATCATTTAAATTTTTGGATATACAAAGTCAGACTGGGTGTATTTGTTACTTTTCTTAATAGTGACAAAATGTCAATTACGGTAACATTCTGTCTCTTTTAAGAAAATGTTTAAAGAATACCAAAACTTACAACTTTGGGACCTTACCAATTAACAAATTTTTATTTCTTCATGAAGAGATTAATGGCCAAGTGGTTAGTCATTTACCATTTATTTTAATACTATGCAGTAAATGGCTTTGTAGTCACAGTATTAGTGCTGTAATTAAAATTCCAACTTTTTTGTTTGTTTTGGTGTTAAACATAATCAAGTATATCATATCGTTACATTCAAGTTTATGTGACTTGTTTATATAAGAATCAGCTTAAACAGCTTTATTTGTTTTGGGTTTTACGTCACATCGACAACTTGATAATAGAGGTCAATGGTTCAATTCATATATGTTTGTTTTATTGGATTTTATCTCACACCAACACATAGGTCATATCGCGATGTTCCAGCTTTACTGGTGGAGGAAGACCTCAGGTGCCCTTCCGTGCATTATTTCAGGCACGAACAGGCACTTGAGTAGAACCACAGACGTTCCGTAATTAAAGCTTTGAATACACAATCAAAATAGTATATAGAAACAAGTTTAGACCTACTTGTAGCACCCTTCTATTGTGGAAATCATCTCATCTATAAGCTGGTCAACCATGTCATATGTTACTGGTTCAGGGCTTCTAAATGACAGCTCTCTGAGGTTTCTGTTAGTCATATGAGACTTGATCTTGGTATACCAACACCGAAATGATTCTTGCATCATTCGCTTCATGAAGTCAGAATTTTTGTTTCTTTCTACCTCAAAAGTTTGGGTTCCAACAGATGTTTGAACTTTGTTCCAATTTTCTCGTTCTGTTTCATCATTGCTGGTGTTTTCTTCAGAGCTGTGTCTCTGTCTATCAGAGGGGCTTGAGTCTGCATTGAAAGTAAACTGTCGTAGAATGTTAAGTAACTGAGAACTTAATATCAATTTTCAGAACAAAAATTATACCACCTTTAAGTAAAGTTACAGGTGAACTCCAATTAGGTTTTGATAAATAGATAAAGTCAATTCTTTTCATGAGAGATAATAGAAAGTACAACATCTCTCATTCTGACCCTAGCAATGGCTGTGACACTAACATTATTAGAATCTCAATGCTTAAAGTGTTGGAAACTCAACACTGAAAATATTGGAATCTCAAGGCTAAAAGTATTGGAATTTCACTTAAAGTATTATAATCTCAACACTAAAAGTATTGCTGAGTCCCAACACTAAAAGTATTTCAATCTCAACACTAAAAGTATTGGAATCTCAACACCGAAAGTATTGGAATCTCAACACTAAAAATATTGGAATTTCAACACTAAAAGTATTGGAAACTCAACACTGAAAATATTGGAATCTCAAACCTAGTAAAAGTATTGGAATCACACTAAAAGTATTATAATCTCAACACTAAAAGTATTGCAGTCCCACCACTAAAAGTATTTGAATCTCAACACTGAAAGTATTTGAATCTCAACACTAAAATAATAATAAATAATTAATAGAATGTAAACACTAAAAGTATTGGAATCTCAACACTAAAAGTATTGGAATCTCAACACTGAAAGTATTTGAATCTCAACACTAAAAGTATTGGAATCTCAACACTAAAAGTATTGGAATCTCAACACTGAAAGTATTGGAATCACAACACTGAAGGTATTGGAATCTCAACACCAAAAGTATTGGAGTCTCAACACTAAAAATGCTAGAATCTCAACACTTTAAGTATTTTTAAAAATCTCAACACTGAAAATATTGGTATCTCAACAATAAAAGTATTGGAATCTCAACACACAATTAATAGAATCTCAACACTACAAGTATTGGAATCTCAACACCAAAAGTATTGGAATCTCAACACTAAAAATGTTACAGTCTCAACACTTAAAGTATTTGAATCTCAACACTGTAAGTATAATTATCTCAATACTAAAAGTATTGGAATCGGTGATCCTAAACAACCTGAGAAAATCACAACACTATAATGACAAACTTGCCACCTGTTTAAAGCAGCTAAAATATGACTGAAAATGTATAATTATAGAAAAATATTATTATAACCTTGGCTGTTTAAATTGTCCAATTCATTTTCATATTCTGCCTTAAGAACCTCCGACACAAAATTGAAGTCTTGTTTGATTGCATCTAAAAACTGGTGAAAAGCAGTTTGTCCTCTTCTCTTTAATATGTAGAGGAGTTTGTTGATCTTCTGATTGTCTGTTCTTTCTGCCTACAATTCAAGTTTTTTACATTTACAGTGACATTTTTTTTGTGATGTAAAAGTAAGTTAAAATAATTGGCCAAAGAATGGATCTAATGAGTGATCTAATTTCAACAAAGTCTGTCTTGTTGGCAGCAACTAATGTTTGTTTATGCCTCCATAGCTTTAGAATGATTATACACATGTGTACATAGTGTTTTTCATAAAAGGCTATAAATGTTTTTTTGCATAAGTAAAAGTTTGTTTGTATTCCAGATTTAGGGAAAGCCCCTTATTTGCCGAGTTCCAGATAAGATCTATTGGTATAATTATATATGTTACAAAATAAGTAGAAGAATTATCTTGTCATAAACAAGAACCAAAGTTGTTCATAAGACTATATGCTTTTTGGTTTAGATATATGTAAATTCCAAAAAAAAAATGAAATAACTTTGCTTTATCAAAACATTTTGAATAAGGTTATCTCTGATTTAAAAAATATTTTTAAAAAAATATTCTGAGAAGATAATAATATTCTCACTGCAATTTGTTGTACCATATCCTCATTTAGAATTTCTTGATCCTCCAAATGGTCCAGAATCGCATCATTCAAGATTAAGTTTTCCAAAATAAATCTTTTCTTGGATTTTAACACTTTTCTTGCACAGACATCCATACTTCTACCATTCCATTGTAAATTAATCAATTGTGAGAGAAAAATTAATGCTTTTAACTTATTTTATCATACCTACAGAAAGTCATTCATTCATGTAGATGCATCAGTTAGACTTTTGATTTTATTAAGTGAAACAATTATGTAACCATTTTTGCATACATGTATATTTATTCCAGTTCTTTTCAGTTGTGCAATTTCCTATATATAAATTTGTTCAAGTCACGAGAAAATATACCGTGTAATACAATGTATGTTTGAAATTTTAAATTCTTTTTGTATATCAAATAAAACTAAATTTTAGTATTTCTTCTAAATTCTCCCCCAAAAAAGTAACTCTAATGACTCTAACAAAGAAAATTGAAAATATTAAACAACTTCCATACTTTGAAAGTCATTATGGTATTTAAATTTAACTAGACAACTGTAATTATCAACATATACAATAGTGATTAGATAATGTATGCTTTTTGTACCCTTATCTGAAACAATAATTATTCTTTTTTGACATGAATTCTCTCTCTCTTTTTTTTTCTCTCTTTCTTTTTTTTTAAGCTCACCTGAGCTGGCTCAGGGTGAGCTTTTAGGATCTTTGAATGGTTGTTGTCTGTCATCTGTCGTATGTCAACATCTAGTTTGTAAACACTGTAGTGGCCATATTTTCGCCACAATTGCCACCAAACTTGGTCAGGATTTTTATCGAACAAGTCCAAGCAATGTATATCTCAGATGAAGTCTTGGCCAAAAATAGAAAAATCTTGTTAACACTCTATTGGTTTCTGTTCAAATATCCATGAAATTGGTGAGAAAGGTTGTTTAGATGATTTCAGGTTTGAATATGGGTCATTATGGGGTCAAAAACTAGGTCACTCAGACCAGATATATTTAAAAAAAACTTTGGTAACACTCTAGAGTTACATTTTCAATCCATTAATAATAATTCCTTAAACATTTTCAGAAAGGTTGTTTAGATGATTTGAACATGGTTCATCTGGCATCAAAATTTGTCAGAAAGTTTGTTTGGATGAATTCCAGCTCAAGATTTAGTATGGTTCATCTGGTGTTAGAAATTAGGTCACAGGGCCCAAGTGTGGAAAAACCTTGTGAACATTAATTTAAATTTTGCACTTTTTCAGATGCAGAAATGAACTTTGTGATATCAGTTTAAGATTAAGACATTATATCTGCTTTTCATACATAGTTAACAAAATTAATTGTTCAGGTGAGTGATATATCGTCCATCATGGCCCTCTTGTTTAAGTGAATTTTGAAGACATATAGATATTTATAAACAAGTTACAAGCCTTTTGTTCATATGGTGTGCTTTGGTAATATTGGGAACAATTTTATTTTAATTTATAGGTAACCTTTCAAACCTGTTTAGGCAGCTTGAAATTCTGTTAAGTGGTTGAAAGAAAGTTGGACAGAACATCTAAGAGAAGATTACTTAAATAATATCTTTGTTTTAACATCTTCTTTTTGTCTACAGTACTTTATAGAATGGTTCCTGATGCCTGTCTAATCATATATGCTTGTGAGGCCTCTGTTGTTGAGTTAGGTTAAGGTAATCACTTGTCCTACACCACTGTGGGTTTGAATCCAGTCATGGATTATTTCATCTGAGGAAGCTATCAAGCTACCTTACTAAATGCCTTTTTAACAAAGGTGCACAATTGTGCTGAAAGTAATGCTCAGAGGAGCACTGACAGGTTTTCTTCTACAATTAAAGCTGGAATTGCCATATGACATTATGATGCCAATTGGACTTCCAGCAAATCATTGTTGCAATGAGAAACTTAATTAGTGAAATTTAATTGTTAACTCGTGTTAAATGACAATCTATATTCAAATGTAATTTGATGGAAATTATTTCTTAAACAATAACCAATTCAAGGTCAGTTTAGTAAATAATGTAAGACATAATTCAAACTAAAACAGTATTTTTATTCAGGTTTATTACAAAACAGGTCATAAATAATAAGATATAATATTTTGTGTAATATATACAATAAAAATCATTGTTACTTTTGGAGGTTCTTTCAATTTTTCCTTTTAGCTCACACAAAATCGTTGGTTTGGCTTTAAAGTTGGTTCATACATCACATCTCTTACCAGTAAAAGCTTGTATATATTTTGTAAGTATAACAGGAAACTTTAATTTATTAACAGAATCAACAGACTTTTGATTCTTAGGAAGCTTTTAAGTCAGCTTGCAGAGCCTGGTTTTATTCATGAGCGAATACTTTCTACACCAGTTTAGCTGAAGCGAAGCCACATGACCTTTGCAATGTTGGTGTAACATTAAACCAAACCTAAACAAATAAAGATATCAGAAATAATCTTTAAAAATAATTCAGAATACAAAGTATTGTGTCCTGAAGTCTTTCTCCAGAGAAACAATCAAATCATCATACACATAGAGAAGACTTCAGATCTGCACATTTTCTAGCTGTACACATAATAAAAGATGATGTAGGGAATGTACATACTAGCTTGTATACTAAACCTATTGATGCACACATGTACTTCAATTAAACTTCCTTCCATCCTTAACACCAAAAGAGAAGTATTTAGTACAGCCAGGCAGTAAGAATATGCCCTATATGTAGCCATGACCTATGCCCTATATGTAGCCATGACCTATGCCCTATATGTAGCCATGACCTATCATATGATCAATGCACCTGATTCACCTTTATGAGAACCTAGCTGAGAGCAAGAGACTACTCTTTCAGTCTCATATATCATGCAATAAACAAAAGAAAAAACTAAACAGCCTCGAACAAGGCAAAAAAAACCCAACTAAACAGCCTTGCACTTCTTTCTCAACAACAAAAAAACAATGAGTTAAAAATTGTTATCCTACTTATTACAACATAATTATAATCCCTAGTTGTACAAAAGATTCTTAATAACTTCTTAAGAATAATAACAAGTAACAGATCTACCCATTTTATAAATAATTTTAAGAATATTGCTGTTCATCGTAGAACAAGAAACATTAGGAATAGACTTGAAGCAGCACGCCTCCAGATTCATCCTAATTTTCATGAAAATTTTGAAAATGTTTTTTAAGGTAAAATATTGTGAAACGAACAAAGAAAGTACATGTTCTTGCCACATTACAATCGGCACTTAAAATCCACGTAAATTACCAAAAACAGAGATCAAAATATGCATAAATAGCCCCTACTGTGTTAGTAACGCAGTAAAAATATGATGATGAATACTACAAAATACAGTCATTAATTGCACATAAGATATAAATTATAACTTGAATCTTTAATTTGATCACTTTTCTCAAAGTTTAAGTATGGTTTTTCCAAATTTAATTTTCTTGAAATATTTTGGGTCATCTGGAGGCATGCAGCTTTAAGTCTACATCATGAAATAATTGGAAGTTATTCATGCAAACATAACTGTATAACTTCCAGATATGTCTCAAATGAAAGACAAATAACAAGTACATGCAACTACAAAACAAACTTACAAGATTTATGAACACTGTAAATGCAAAACGATTAAGTGTTATATATTTAATATTAAACCTTTAATAAATGTGGTTTACAATATGTAGTCAAACTGGAAATTCTCTAAGAGAAAGATTCTACAATCATATAGTGGACATTAAATCTAATAATAATGTGGAGCAAGTTTCCTGCCATTTTAACAGTGCGGGACATAATGTAAATAATCTTGACGTCAATATAATACAGCGTACAGAATGCAATAAAAACATACATTTACGAATAAGGAAGTTTGGATTAAACTATTACAAACTATTTTAAACACCTTCAGGACTAAATTTAATTTATTTAAGGCATGAAAATTAGACGACTATTTTTATGACCAAAGAACTAGAAGTAATCAACTTTATAGAGCTTCGACAAATACATTACCTTTGTGAAAAATGCGGTTACATTACTTATACCAGATGGTAAAAACAGAGACATTAGAAACAACACAAGGATACTATAAGCAAATATAAATGTTCATAGTGAAATAAATTATATGAACATAAGGACAAACTCCAAACCTACTCCAGTAAACTGCATGTATTCGACAAAGTCAAATTCGAAACAATTGAACTCCACCACCATAGCTAACATTAAAATACAAAACAACAAAAAGGAAACAACGAGAGTAATATACTGCTGGAAAAACCTAGATTCAGAATCATCATGAACAAGACTGGGAACACCTACTGTAAAGAAAAATCAAAGGGCTGCAAGCTCTGTGGTATTTTCTGATTCCTGCAATCTAAATCGTACTGTATATCTGTATGTGTTTTCCTGTATAAGTTTATTTTTATGTACTATGAGTCATCTTGCAGGGCACCAGAGTTTGATACATACGGAATTTTGCATAACTAGAGTTGCATCAAAAAATAATTTATGTAAAAAAGAATTAAGAAAATGTTGACTCGACTGGGATTTGAATTCCCAGACCTCTCACACAAGCACCAAACTAGCGTGTTACCCATGCACCACAGAGAAGTTATAAAATCAACGCTGAATAAAATCAAGTCATTCTAAATTTAGAATTTCCATCGCATTTCGGGTTAGGGTAATTTTGAATTGTTTAAAATTGAAGCAAAAATCTTCTCGCCCAAACAGTCCAACATGTAGAAACTATATATTCAACTACTCAGCAGTCAGATTTATTTGTGTAGTATTCGGTAATCGACATCGCTAAAAATAGCATTTTCATTGATTAAAATCATATTCATCCGCGTAATTTGTGAGTGTGCATTTATTGACAACTCTATAAGCCAACGCTACTTTAAAAGTTTGAAGGTGTAGTAATTTGTTGCACACTTGTAACAAAAAATTGTTCTTTCTTTTAAATTGCTGGTTTTTAAGCCGTTTTGAGTGAGAACTAATTTGCGTTGTTAGGACTGTTAGGAAATAATGTGTGAGACCGTGGATGTTAGCTATGTATTATCTGATCTGCGATCAGAAAATACAAAAAAGCACATAAAATACACATAAGGAAGTAAATGGCAAAACAGAATATAGAGACAATATGACATATAAAATACCCCAACCAATTTCACCATTACCAGCATGAAAAGCATAGAAACAACAGCAGCCATGATGAATATCTAATGTACAACAATAACAATGAGCAAATCATCAATGTCATAGAATATATGGACTATTCACCACCAGTTAAGACCTTTTCTCTGCTATACAGACTATTAGGATTTAGCCCAAATAAATTCTTTATTAAGTAACATTATGTTTAATTTTAGTGACAAACAATTAATAAAGTTTAGCCATTTTTAACATACTTCAATAGCAAAAACTTAAGAATTTATTTGTCCTGATGAAGGTTAAGTATTGACCGAAATTAGTAGACATTTAAATGAAATATTGCAAACCTGCTCTGGTGTTAACATGAACTACTCTTTGAGCTTGAACTTATAATGTTTGAAAATAATTGTTCTGTAATTTGAGGTCTATTTCATAACCTTTTTTGTAGTTGAAAACCAGATATCCCAAGATTTTGATCATTTGATGGCTTCCTTCTTCCCCTTACATTATTATATCTTGTTGATCTATTTCTATAATTTTGAATGTGTTCTATGTTTTCATTTGCAGCAACTTTTTTCTTTAGTTCTTTATTTTCCTCTGTGAGTTCTGTAAGTTTCATGTTATTTGTATCAAATTCTTCTTGTTTTGCCCGTAAACTACTTTCAGCGTTTTCAAGTTGTGATTCCAGTGTCTGAATTATGCTTCTAGCTTCTTCAAGTTCAGATTCCTTTTGGTTTAATCTATTGTCTTTCTGTCTTAACTGAGCTTCATAATCTTGGATTTTTGTTTCAAGCAGGCGTATTTTGTTGGCATATTTTTGGATCCGCTGTTCCCTTTCCAGTAGTCTGCCCTGCAGGTTGGTATTTTCTGTTCTCATTGTTTCAATGCATCTTTTCAAAGAGACTCTATGTGCTCCTCTGACAAGCCTAAAAGATATACATGTATTTTATGTAATTAAAATTATGAATTCAGTACGTAAAAATTAAGATTGTAATGATTTGAGTAAGCCAGTTTGTCTGGATGTCTGGCCATAGTTAATGCACTTATATGGTATTCATTCTTGGACAAATTAATTAATCTTTTGGATCTATTTTTTTACCATATTGTTTTTTGTGTGTTTTTTTTTCCAGATTTTGTACCCTTTTGCTAACTGCCTAAAGTTTACAGTGGAACTTGCAAATTTATAGGCAAACAGGTGATGATTTATATATCTTGCAAAAAGATAAAGATGAAAACTCTCAAATAATCCTAATACAAATGCATTAAAGACATAGGTGTTGTGTTAGAAATGTTTTTCTTGTGTTTTAAGTGTGTACCATATCTGGTGTATGGTCATCTTCTCAGATGAGGATAGGTAAAAACTATACTGATTCATTTTTGTTCGAACTAGATAATATATTGTTGAATGAAAGTCTGTTTCAAAAATTAAGCATAAAAAGATGAAAGGCAAGCGATTTGAAATGCAAAAACCATTATTATTATAATTATGCATTGACCTACCTGTAACTTTCTTGTCCAAGATCAATGACCTTTTCTAGGAGAGGCTTTATCATGACAAAAGTAGCTAATTCAGGGCTACCAAAGAAATCTTCCCTTTCATTCATGAAGATAAGATGCATTTTCAACATCATATAGATAATATTAAGATGGGATTGTGTTGAATTATGATCAGAGTGCATAGACATGCTAGCATACGTAGGGGCACGATGAAGGGCTCTTATGCTTTCCTGGAGGTTATTTATTGCGTTCTGGTCTTCATTGCTGTTGCTTCTGCTTTCCTCAGGATTTTCTGTTTGATTGCTGTTTGTAATGCTTTTCTCTTGATTGCTATTTTTTCTGCTTTTCTCAGGAACATCATTGGCCTTCAGTTCTGTTTCATCAATTTTGGTACCGCTTACCTCAGGAACATAAGCCTTCAGTTCTGTTTCATCTCTAATAGTACTGCTTACCTCAGGAACATGATTGGCCTTCAGTTTTGTTGCATCACTTTTGGTACAGCTTACTTCAGGAACATGATTGGCCTTCAGTTCTGTTTCACTTCTTTTGGTACCACTTTCCTCAGGAACATACGCCTTCAATTCTGTTTCATCACTTTTGGTACAGCTTTCCTCAGGAACATGATTGGCCTTTAGTTCTGTTTCATCTCTATTGGTACTGCTTTCTTCAGAACCATAAATGGCCTTCAGTTTTGTTTCATCACTATGTGTACTGTTTTCCTCAGGAACATAAGGAACCTCCAGTTCTTTTTCATCATTGTTGGTATGGCTTCCTTGAGAAATAAAAAAATTATTGAATATTTTGTTTTATCTGAATTTTGTTTTATAATTGAATGTTCAGAGCCTGAAGAAAACCATTGCACAAAAAGTTTTGTATAGATTATTATGTCTTTTGAAGTTTTGTTCGATCATATTAGATTGCTTTACAATAAACTTATTCAATGTGCACAAACAAGTAAGGTTATTTAGTGGTGTATGAGGGATGTTTCATTTTTAGCTTTTCTATCACAAAGTGACAGGGTGAGCTTTTGTGATCCCTTTTCGTCCGGCGTCTGTCCGCACTCACAGGAGAGTAATTATGTGGCTAGAGGGACAATAGGTTCTCTTTGATGTCATTCATTCCGTAATGCTTTTATGTGGCTATTTTCTTTTGCGTGGCTAAAAAAAACAATAGAGAGAACAATAGAGTAGCCGCATAATTACTGTCCTGTGAGAACGTCCTTCCGTCCGTCCGTCGTCCATCCATAAACTTTTGCTTTAAATGACATCTCCTCATAAACCACTGAGCCAATTTCATCCAAAATTCACAGGAATGTTCCTTTGGTGATCACGTTTAAAAATTGTTCAAAGAATTGAATTCCATGCAGAACTCTGGTTGCCATGACAACCGAAAGAAAAATCTTTAAATATCTTCTTTTAAACAACCCTAAGAGCTAGAGCTTAGATATTTGGTATGAAGCATCTTCTAATACAGTACGCTCACAGCGGGTTTTGCTTTTTCCGCGATACCACCGCGGACGATTTTTTTTATTGCGGGCAAACGCTGGGGTTCGTCTGCGATGAAAGTCTAATTTCCCTGAGATCCCCGGTGTTCAGTTGTTTCCACCACGGACAAAATTCTGACGACCGTTCTTCATTCGTCGATAAAATCAGTCACCCGTTTCCCGCAGGGGAACGCCAAGGTCAGTTGGTCAGTATAAATTAACCTCCAAAAATAATAGACGTTTTATTATTTATTAACGTTATCTTTTTTACACAATGACTTGAAAATTGACCACAATCGTCTCCTTAAATGTTATTATACGTTAAATTTTTTGAACGGAATTTGAAAAAAAAAATTACAGCTGTACCTGTTTTTGTTGTTGTTTTTAATATTTTTGTTATAAACGTCCACAAAACTATTCGTCCACATACCAATATTTTTACAACTGAAATCGTCATTTATCACTGTCATCTTTACTTTTTCATTCCTTGTGGTTCTCAAAGTATTATTGCTGTTAAACTATATGGGAGCCATAAATATGATACTTAGTAAAAAAAGGACATTTTTTTGCTGATTTCTCAATGATGACTGACGCTACAGTACATGTCCTGTAAGAGGTGGATGAGTGTGAATACAAGACAAGACATAAATAAAATACATGTACATATCTTAGAAATAAAAGAAAAAGATATTTAAACCATCTATAAGATTTTATTTGTATGCAATTATATTCTTTAAAAAACGGATAGACTTGTTTGTTTGTGTTTTTTTACAGTATTAAACCCCCGTCGAAAATGGACATGAGAAATATGCATGACACTTGCCAAAAAGTTTTTGTATACTGTACATACCGTATGTTTATTTGACACAAATTCACCCATTAAAAAATAATAATTAGGCTGCCTTTTACAAATTATAAAATTACATTATTATCCTCAGAATTAATTTCAATGAAAACTTAATATAATAAATACAAGAAAGCAAAGACAATTACGTTCAATTGCATGTACTTAAAACTACATGTTGTCTACAAATACTATTATTCCCATGAATAGTAATATCTTAAGATAAAAATAAAATGAACTTGAAAATCAGTCGATGGAAGTTCTTAGAAAATAACTGCCATGTGCTTGTTTGCCTTATATACATGTATGTACATGCTGTTCATAATAAAATAACAAAAAGTATAACATCAAGTTTAACAAAATTCTGCAAAAAAAAATCTATAAAAAGATAAAAAAGAACAAACAAAGAAACTACTAAAACAAAAATGAAAATAAACTTCAACAGTTGATACAAACTTCAAAACATATACGCTCACACCTGTAATTAGATAAATCAAGAATATCATTTAATGTATATTTTGGTGAAATAAACGCTTTCTTTTAATGTTCCAAATAAAATATAAGACTTTACGATCAACATGCAAATAAACAGAAACAGTAAAACGCATCTGACAATTGAAAGAATCGTCCTGGAATATTGCCTGAATAAATTGTTGAGGGTTACGTTTTCAAAGTTTTTAAATAAGAAACAAAAGCTGGCATATAAATTGTTGTAGTATCTTTTTCATGAATGTCATATGCCGAATTTTTCATTATTAGACTTCAAGTTTCTCACTACCATGAAGTTGCGACAACAGTGATTTATCTTGATGTTGAATACATATTATACATTACCCAACACAATAACAAGAAGAAGAACAAGAAATACACTGCATTTGTACATGTACTTTTATTACAACAAAAAAGAAAACAAACAAACAAATTTTACATATAGTTATATGTACAGTACATGTTACAGTACGTACGTTTACTGATGTTTAAATACAGTAATTAGTCCCCTACCGGTTTACCGGAGGGGACTTTAGGTTTACCCTCCGTCCGTCTGTCAGTCCGTCCGTCAGTCAGTCGGTCCGTCCACAAAACTGGATCCCGCGATAACGCAAAAAGTACTGAAAATATTTTAATGAAACTTGGTATATGGATAGATGGCAGTATGGAGATTATGCACGTCTTTTTCTTTTCTTCCTATGTTGAAAATTCTGGTTGCTATGGCATCAAATAGACTGAAAATATGGCAAATTTTACACATAACCTGGATCCCGCGATACCGCAAAAAGTACTGAAAATATTTTTATGAAACTGGATAGATGGCAGTATGGAGATAATGCACGTTTTTTTCTTTTTTTCCTATGCTGAAAATTCTGGTTGCTATAGCAACAAATAGACTGAAAATATGGCAAATTTTACACATAACCTGGATCCAGTGATAACGCAAACATTACTGAAAATATTTTTATGAAACTTGACATATTGGTAGATGGCAGTATGGAAATTATGCACATTCTTTTCTTATCTTTCTGTATTGAAAATTCTGGTTGCTATGGCAACAAATAGACTGAATTTCAAGATTTCTGATTCTAGTTTTTCAGTTTTTTGTGCCCCCACGTTAGTGGCGGGCATTTAGATTTACCCTTGTCCGTCGGCCCTTCCGTCCGTCCGTCCGTTCACTTTGTGTCGCACGTAACTCAAAAAGTATTTGACCACAGGAATGTTGATCAGCATGTGTTGTTGTGCACCTAGGTATTTTCGTCTGGATTTTTTTAGTATTTTCAGAGTTATTGCCCTTGACTTACTGAAATTTTGCAATTTTCAATTTGTGTCACACGTAACTCAAAAAGTATTTGACCTAGAGTCATGAAACTTTACAGGAATGTTGATCAGCATGTGTAGTTGTGCACCTGGGTATTTTCGTGTGGATATTTTTAGTATTTTCAGAGTTATTGCCCTTCACTTAGAAATTTTTTGCAATTTTCAACTTGTGTCGCAAGTTACTCAAGAAGGATTTGACATAGTCATTAAACCTTATGGGTAGATTGCTCAGCATATTTAGATTTGCACCTGGGGTTTCGCTTGTGGATTTATCCAGTATTTGTAGAGTTATTTCCCTTGACTTAGTAAAAAGATTGACAGAACAGTGGCGCGGTGGGGGCACCCGTGTCCTATGGACACATTTCTAGTTCACTATAAGTTCTTTATTTCTGAAGGTATTTTCTTCAAACTTTAAATATAAGTTGCTAGTTATCAACCACATCATATGTGACAAGTTTACAACTCTAGCACAAAATTTATCAGAAATTATCTCCCTGGAACTTAAAATTTTCATGAAAAAAACATTGTTTTTTTTAACAACTTCTTTTTTTCTGAACGTATCTACTTCAAACTTCATATAAATGTTTCTTATTATCACTCAACATTTGTGAGTGTTCAATACTCTAGCAAGACTATTTCCAGAATTATGCCCCTTTTGAACTTGACTTTTTTTTGAGAAATTGGTAATTTTCTTCAATTATGATAGGATTTTCTTCAAACTCCCAAATCATAATAATATGACAATAATATGACAAGGTTTATAAATCTAGCATCCATATTTCCAGAATTATCTCCTCCTTAAACTTTTTATTTTTCCTATTCGTTCTTTTAACTTTCATTTACTTCAAATTCAAAATAAACATTCAATATTCATACCTTCATTACTAATTGTTCTTTGTTACACTCACATCATGTATGACATCGTTTTCTCCTTTTTTTAAAATTTTGCTTCAAAAATGTTATATTTTGATAACAGGGATGTTTAAAAAATAACTTTAGAGTGTCCTTCAGTCTGTCTGTCTGTCTGTACATAAAAACTGTTCACTGTGATCAGTTAAAATAAAAACATAAGTGAATGGCCAATGGCCCTTCAGAATGTTGCTTGGGCTCTTACCGGTAGGGGACTTATGGATTGCTTGCAATACTATGATAATTGCTTGTTAATTTTTAAAATTTAAGGTTTCGACGGCGTTGACCGGTGTTTGACCGCCGCGTTCCTCCGCAATTTACCGCTGCGTTCCGCGGGGGAAGCGGTTTCAGCCGCCGATTTATGTCCTCGGTGGTGAAAATTTTCTGTCCGCGGGGTCAAGCGGACAATATCTGAGCAAATTTTTGTCTGCGGTAAACCTCATCCGCAGGGTCACGCGGGTTTTGAAAAAGCGGCGCTGAGTGTACTGTAAGTGCTTACCAAGTTTGTTCAAATTAAAGCCCTGGGGTTAAAATTGGCCCCGCCCCAGGGGGTCATTGATTTTCCCTATATGCATATAGTAAAAACTTTAAAAAATCTTCTTTTAAAGAACCCAAAGAGCTAGAACTAAGATATTTGGCATGACACATCTTCTAGTGAGTGTCTACCAAGTTTGTTCAAATAAAAACCCTGGGGGTCAAAATTGGCCCCGCCCCGGGGGTCATTGAT